TTGAGAGGTTTTTGCTATAGGGCACATGCACTCGCCAGAAAGAGAGAGACAGAGAGACAGAAAGTGAGAAATCACCCCCCAGGGGATGGCCACACTGCAATCCCTTCTCCTCCATTCTCCTCTCAGGATCTTGGGCACGCACGCACACATGCCTGGCGTGAGTTTTAAGTCACCGGGTCCAGGATTCTAACTGCGGTTGACTACGTGGGAGTCCAGCGACATAGCCATTACGCTAACTGCTGGTCCCGATTTAGAAGTCAATTTTCAATAGTTTTAAATGGTGAACAGTTTTTCTCAATTTTAGAATTGTTATTTTGAGCATTTGGGATGCTTTGTTCTAAAATCCTCAACATTTACATAATGAAAATTTCACTTGATGGAGGGAAGAATGCAAATGCTTTCTTCATTTAAATATATGATAGATTGTTTGCTATGAGCATTCATTATAAAATTACATCACTAACTATTCATTTCTTCCTTTCAGGAGAAAGATACGTCTACCACCTATTTCAGCAACGACAATTTGGTGGCACTCGTTTCCAATCTGTTTGCGGCAGGTACAGAGACCACGGCCTCCACACTGCGCTGGGGGATCCTGCTCATGATGCGATATCCCGAGGTCCAGAGTAAGTCCCTAAGATTCAGAGCATTGCCTCGAGGAGAGAAACCAAATATCTCTTAAGCTGGATGCTGCAGAATTTAATTGCCACACGAGGCACTTGCAATTATATCCTTGAGGATAGTTTGTATCTTTAGTTTGTTCTTGATATTAAAAAGTAGATTTTGCTTTGTAAGCACTGGAGATGGTTTAAAGATAATATGATGAATATACCCCAGAGGGTCCTTACAAATAGAGGCCAAGAGTGTGGGAACAGCTCAGGGAAAAAAATGAGCCCAAATTGGGAGAACACTCAGTTTGCTTTTCCCATGTAAAGAAAGTGGGGGAGACTGTTTCAACTTCTGGCCCCAATTCTAATCATTGTGATTCCATTTTATCCAGAAAAGGTCTACGATGAGATCACAAAAGTTGTGGGATCGGCCCAGCCTCGAATTGCACACCGAATTCAAATGCCATACACAGATGCTGTCGTTCACGAAATACAGAGATTTGCTAACATTCTGCCTACAAGTTTGCCCTATGTAACAACTACACATGTTAAATTCAAAAATTACTACATTCCAAAGGTAAGGGTTTACAAGGAAGGGGAGGGGAGAGAATAGAGAACATCAAGCACTTACAAGCGGAGATAAACTGCCAAGACAATCCTGGCCCACCTTTTCTCTTCCCCTCCCTCCTTTTCTCTTTCTGCCTCCTTCCTTATCATTCAAGAAAAGATATGACTATGTATGAAAGTACTTCAAAAGTTCATGGGAGGGAACCAGCAGTTAGCGTAATGGCTATGTCGCTGGACTCCCACGTAGTCGACCGTGGTTCGTGTCCCGGACCCGGTGGCTTAAAACTCACGCCGGGCGCGTGTGTGTGCGTGCCCAAGATCCCGAGAGGAGAATGGAGGAGAAGGGATTGCAGCGTGACCATCCCCCCTGGGGGGTGATTTCTCGCTTTCTGTCTCTCTCTTTCTGTCTGTCTGGCGAGCGCACGCGCCCTACAGTGAAAATCTCTCAAAAAAAAAAAAAAAAAGTTCATGGGAAAATGGAATTAAAATATGAGTTTATATTGATACAAAAAATTTCAAATCCTGTGTTGTCCCCATAGCCTAATGGTTAAAGGAGCTGGCCACATGGTCAACCACGGTACAAATCCCAGCTCCAGAAGCTTGGGAAACACATTAGGCACATGAGCATGCATGTTCAAAATCCCTAGAGGATGAAGAAATGGAGGAGAAGGAATTGCAACACGACACCCCCATTGGGAGGTGCTTCAGCACACACATCCTTCAGCAGTTTCTTATTATAGGGCATGTGCACTCACTGTTGAGACAGAGAGACAGAAAGTGAGAAATTATCGCCACACTGCCATCCCTTCCTGTCCATTCTCCTCTTGGGATTTTGGGCACACGCACACGTGTCCAGTATGAAATTTAAGCTGCTGGGTCTGGGACTCGGACCACGGTTGACTACATGGGGCCCAGCAACAACCAGTGTGCCATCTGCTGGTCCCCACCCTATAGCAATTTTTAAAAATTGAAATCTCTACATAGTTTTTCCAAATACAAATTTCCATGAACTCTTTAAAGAATCCCTTGATACATAGATGTATTATGTTTATGCAATAAGTGGTCAATATTATTCCATGAAACTGTTTTTTTTTTTTTTTAAGTTTTGCTATAAGGCATGTGTGCTTGTTGAAGAGAGAGAGAGAGAAATTACCACCCAGATTGGATGGCAACATTGCTGTCCCCTCTGCTCCATTCTCCTCTTGGGATTTGGGGCATGCACACATACATGCCTGGTGTATTTTTCAAGCCACCAGGTCCAGGACTCAAACCTCACAATCAATCAGATCTAGCTGCCTTAACTACTATGCTACCGGCTGGCCCCTATAAAACTTTTTTTTAAGAATTATTTTATTTAGCTTTATTTATTTATGTATTTTAATTTGACCAGAGAGGAACACTGCAAGAGAGAGAGAGAGGGAGAGAGAGAGAGAGAGAGAGAAGGAAAGAGAGAAAGTAAGCCATCAGGTCTGGGACTCGAAACGTGGTTGGCCATGTGGGAGTCCAGTGTCCCCAATCACCACGCCACCTGCCGGCCCTATCCAAGACATAATTTTAACAATGAAAATGATCTATTTTATTGTGTATTAATGCAGATGTACATCTGTTTATGACTTATTAATTTTTTATTATACACTAGGTTATCCAGTAATTAGAATTGGGGACAAGGAAGGATCAAAAAAAAAAAAAAAAAAAAAAAAAAAAAAGCAAAACACGAAGTGACAGAAAAAAATGATTTCAAGCTAGAGATTTCCCATAGTACAAAGCTAAATGAAAACACTGAAACTCAAAATAATTTATTTTCAAATTTCCCTATCAATCAGGAAATAGACAAATACACATGTCTACTGACTGTTCTGAATCGAAGAAACACCCTGTCTCTCCCTCCTCTGCAGAGCTCTCAAAGGAATACCAACCTTTAAATACCGAAGCCACAGAAGAAAGCTGGAAATGTAAAAAGTCTTCAAGTGAGGTGAGAAAATTACCTGAGAGAAAGGAATGAAAGGAACCTACTTCAAATTTTAATAACTAAATATATCTCTCAGGGAGATTATTCCTCGGCTATTTAGTTAGCCACTTGAGTTCTGAAATGTGTGAGGGATTTGCCCCCCATTCTATTTTGTGCTCTGTTAATACCTCTGTCTGCTTGTCCCAAGGAGGTTGCTCTAACTTGTGGAAATGATGCTCCACTCACAACATGGTACCAGAGCAATGAATAAGAAAGCAATATAAAAAACCCACCCATGATGGAACAGGAAAATAAAGTCTGTTTGGCAAGTGGGAATACTTTTAAAAGTTTGTGGGCAGGTAGTGTGGTGGTCAAGGTGATGGACTCCCACATGCCTGACGACAGTTCGAGTCCCAGACCTGACAGCTTGAAAATCAAGCTGGGTATGTGTGCATGTGTGCATGCAAGCATGCCCAAAATCCCAAGAGGAGAATAGAAGAGAAGGGATTGCGGTGTAGTCATTCCCCCTGGGGGGGTGACTTTTCACTTTCCCTCTCACTGTTTTTTCTGTCTCTCTCCAGTGAGCACACGTGCCCTATCGCAGAACCTAAAAAAAAAAAAAAAAGTTCATGGGAAAATGGAATTAAAATATGAGTTTATATTGATACAAAAAATTTCAAATCCTGTGTTGTCCCCATAGCCTAATGGTTAAAGGAGCTGGCCACATGGTCAACCACGGTACAAATCCCAGCTCCAGAAGCTTGGGAAACACATTAGGCACATGAGCATGCATGTTCAAAATCCCTAGAGGATGAAGAAATGGAGGAGAAGGAATTGCAACACGACACCCCCATTGGGAGGTGCTTCAGCACACACATCCTTCAGCAGTTTCTTATTATAGGGCATGTGCACTCACTGTTGAGACAGAGAGACAGAAAGGGAGAAATTATCGCCACACTGCCATCCCTTCCTGTCCATTCTCCTCTTGGGATTTTGGGCACACGCACACGTGTCCAGTATGAAATTTAAGCTGCTGGGTCTGGGACTCGGACCACGGTTGACTACATGGGGCCCAGCAACAACCAGTGTGCCATCTGCTGGTCCCCACCCTATAGCAATTTTTAAAAATTGAAATCTCTACATAGTTTTTCCAAATACAAATTTCCATGAACTCTTTAAAGAATCCCTTGATACATAGATGTATTATGTTTATGCAATAAATGGTCAATATTATTCCATGAAACTGTTTTGTTTTTTTTTTTTAAGTTTTGCTATAAGGCATGTGTGCTTGTTGAAGAGAGAGAGAGAGAAATTACCACCCAGATTGGATGGCAACATTGCTGTCCCCTCTGCTCCATTCTCCTCTTGGGATTTGGGGCATGCACACATACATGCCTGGTGTATTTTTCAAGCCACCAGGTCCAGGACTCAAACCTCACAATCAATCAGATCTAGCTGCCTTAACTACCACACCACCTTCCAGCTCCCCCCACATGAAACTTTATAAGATAGTATTTTTGTGCTATAGTGAAGAAATGGGGGCTCACGAAGCTCAAGTATTTGCCAGGAATGAAATATTGGTCAGGAGGGGGCCAGGATTCCAAGAAAGGTCTACCCACTTCAGAACCCTGCATTTTAGCATGCAGGCTCTTTTCCAGAGAAACTCCTTCACTTCTGTCCTCACACACAAACATGCTCTTGTCATCTCCTTCCCAGTATTAAAGTAGCTATCTAGATGCACCCTTCCACTTTCCACAGGTAGGCTGGGGAAATGTGCATGGATAGTGTTCCTGACGTAAAGGCAGAACCACACAAGGTCACGGTATTCCTCACACCAATTCACTTCCTTAATGCCTAGTCTATTTACTGCTTCTGGGCCTGAATGTCCCCCACAAAAGTCATGTGTTGAAATTTAGTCGTGATGGGACTAAAAGGGTGACCGTTTAATCTGTAATAATGGTGTTGAAAGAAGGAGCTTTGGGGAGGAGATTGGGATTAAGGTCATAAGGATGAGGCGCCATGATTGGTGAGTTTATAAGGAGAGTGAATGAGAGCAGAACAGACACACAGACACACAGATGCAGGTCCCCTGTCCTCTGCCATGCTGTAATGCAGCTGGAAATCCCACATCAGAGGCAGTCCCTGGACCTTGGATCGCCGAAGCAGGAGACAAATTATCCTCTTTTCTCTTCAATTAACCAGACTCAGGTGTTATTAGCCGTTAAGAGCAGCAGAACAGAGAAAATAGGGCCCAACTCTGCATCAGTCCACAGGGACACTAGTTGTGTAAACGCCTCCCTGCACGATCACTATGAGAGCCCTGTGGACCCGCGACCATCTTTACCTTTGGAGCTTATCTTCTCAGCATATCTTAAGCACACCACTTGACTGAATTACTCAGATTAGTAAGGAAATGGAAAAAAAAGGTATGTCCAAAATAAATAAATAAAGACCCTCAAAGAAGCAGTAAAAGTACAGGATTTTCAGCCTAGTCATCTACCTCACTGGGAATGAGGTAGAACATTGTATTAGAAAGGGCTTTGCAGCTACAAGAGCATCTAACTGATCTACTGTGTTACTGCATGTTACTTCACTCAGTCCCACTGGGCCCCAATTATCTCTTTTGTGAAATGGAAAACATCTGGCACAGTGGTTAGGAAAAGAAGAAAGTTTATAAACAAGGTCCAGGCACATATAATGATAGACAGATAGATAAATGGTAGGTTATTTGCAAATGAATAAAGTTTAAAACAACATGCTTTAAAGCAATCATTTGCTTTTTGTGACTAAAAACTGTATAGATTCATGTGATAAAGCAGCTAACTATGAAGATAAGTTGTTACAAAGTCATCTTTTTCTTTCTTTCTTTCTTTCTTTCTTTCTTTCTTTTTTTGAGAGAGAGATTTTTGGTATAGGGCACAGACACTCATCAAAGAGACAGAGAGGCAGAGTGACAGAAAGTGAGAAGTAATCCCCCAAGGGGATGGCCATGCTGCAAACTCTTCTCCATTCTTCTCTCAGGACATGCACATGCACCCGGCATGAGTTTTAAGCCACAGGGGTCCAGGACTCAAACTGCAATTGACTACATGGGAGCCCAATGATGTAACCATTACATGATTTGCTGGTTCTCGAAGTCTTCTTAAAGAAGTTATTGTCATTAGCCAAAGTGAAGTAGCAATATTGTCCTTAATTTGAAGGAGAGCCTTTGTTTTTATCACTATTTTATTTTAGATCATAGAATACCCTTTCC